GCAGAACCTTTTTTATACACCACGTTCAATAAAGAGATAACTCCCTACTTCTGTGTTTAGGACATGCCAGATAAATATACAGAGTTCAAATACCTCACTAAAAATATGTGTAATTATTTCCAAAAATACTTTAAAAATTCGACGGTGTATCCATCTAGACCAGGTGATTTTTCATTTGTTCATATTTATAAGTGCTTGATGTACCTCTTCAATGGAGAGTTCTCCTCCGAGCTTCTGTGACATTGAAGCATATTGCTCCGTTTAGTTTCATTTCACAACGCCCCCTATCGTCAGAGTCAGCAGCCTAACATGTTAGCCTATGGACGTTTAAACAACAAATCGTTACAAATTCATTTTTTGTTTAAACGAAAAGCACATCCACCCCGACGTACGTTATCACTAGCTCTTTCATTAGAGCCCTTATGTCTCATTGACTTTTGAAAGTTCACCCACCATAATTTTTCAAAATAGGTTACAAGCTCGCCATTGCCTATAATACACATGTGAAACAAGTCGAACTTTGGACTCAGTTTGCCAAGCGATTTTAAGATTATAGGTCAAGCTCACGAAGGATAAGAAGCATGAATTATCATAGATCACTTCTGCTTGGTTCATTATGTCCATTTCATCCAGCCCCCACCGTAATTTTTCCATTTAGTAAAAGCAAACATTTAGCCGAGGTAAGTAAAAACATGAATATTCATGACACACCATGGAATATTCGGTTATTAGCAGAGGGGTGCAATCGGTCATCACGTCAAACTCCCCTAATTGCCACCAAGTATTTCATATCATTATATAGTTTGGTATGTTTCTTTAACTCACTCATGAATTATTAAATATCAATGACGGTTTAAAAATATGTAAAAGAAATTTTAGTTGATATTTATTAACAAAGTAGTTTATATTTAGCAAAGCAATCTTACATACAAAATTACTATCAAGTGTCGTCTGCTACGCCGATTGTCGCCTTCTTCGTTTAAGGCACATATATTTATCGTTTGGACTGTAAGGTATACCATGGAGATTTGTATTTACCTGCGGTACAACGTATAGCAGGAAAATGTTGTATATGCAGATCCTTTTAATGATTACGTAATGGGAGTGGCGAGGCGGTATGGTTTGAATAACTTAGACAGGTGAAAGTTATTGTATTGAGAAGGAAAGGAATGTTCACACCCGACTTATAGCGAAGAAGAAGAATGTATAATTCGCGCCATTGCGCGCGAACACATCACATACAATGGCATACACCCGGTACCCTGCAACACAGTGGAACATTCTAAGAAATTGAAAATGTATCTACAAAATAGACCTCTTGAATCATCTGAGACGTAACTTACCCTATTTTGATGACTTCAATGAATGTCAAGATTACAATGTCTGCGTTTCCATCCAAAAATAAAACTAGTTTGCAATTAGTCCCTTTCTCGATAATTTCACAAAATATATTTGCCGCCGCATTCAATATGACGTCATTGACAGCAGATTGGCTAGTTTGGTAGTGACGTCGAACGAGCTATGCTTGTGCTGCAGTGATCCAGCGAGCGAAAATTGAGACAATCGTAGCCATATGTGGTTAATTTACTTATTTCTGAATCATTAAATATTGTATTTAAGTCTACATCAACAACAGGATTATTTTCATACAATTTAGAATAGAACAATACAATTTGTGATATAATATCATCCTGCGATATAACCCCCTTGTTTTCAATAGTGACCAATTTGCATATACGTTTATTCACATCATTTCTTGTTTCTAAATTCAAAAAATATTTCGATGACTTCTTGCCATATTACATCCAATTAATTCAAGACCTCATCTTATTCCTTCCATTTTTTTTCTTTTCTCAACGATTCTAACTGAACTTTATTCTTATATTATATAACTAAAACTCTATTTTTGTCCGTTTTTTATATCAATGCATTCTCCAAATCAATCATTTACTTGTCCAAATCACATTCTAAATTTTCCAATCTTTTCTTCTTTCTGGCTGCGTATAAAATTGTTTCACCTCTGAGCATGGTCAACAACGTATCAAAAAATAAATGATCGTTTTACAGTAAATTCATATTGTGTACCTTGCCCTTCTACTCCAAATCTAATGAATTGTAATCATATGGGACTGAATAGGTCTCACTCGTTTGTTGCATTACATCTTTAATTTTGTCTACATAACTATCATCCCTTGACCTACCCTACAACGATTTGAATTGAAAGATAGCTTGACCAAGGAATCAACGGATCTGTATCAAGGAAAAAATCTCTATTTCATAAACGATTGACAGTAATTCAGTGGAGACCAACAAATAATCCAATCTAGCCGCTTTAAAGGGAGTAGGTTGACGCTATGTAAAAAAACAAATCCTGGACATGCTATTCTCTCCATGGGTCTATCAAATCTAAATCTCTCTTCATTTGATCGAATTTTTTCTTGGCAATAGGATTGTTAAGACGAATATGATTATATGTATTTTTATCAAAATCTTGGACCAAGTTCCAATCCCCGCATAAAAATTGTTAATGGATTATCGAAATAAGAGCACATTAAAAATATAAAAGAATTGGTCCTGGCAACCGTTCGAGGGGGGGGGGGTAAGGTCACCTTTTTTGGTCACACATTAGCACAATTTGTATTATTTTTGGTGTTAATTAAAACAAAATTGAGGGGGGGAGGTTCTTCCAAAACACACACACACACAATTTGAGGGGGAGGTTCGACCCCCCCCCCCCCCCCCCCCCGTCTGCGTACGCGCCTGCCTATGACAATTACCGTGATGTCTAGCACAAACGAAACTATACACAATAAACACATCTGTCTCATTTGGCGAGACAAGACGCAATACCAAGAAAGCCACAGGCGACCACATATTTCCTGTAGATCCCCGAAACCCAACCAATCCAACGAAGAGGGAAAATGTATCAACCGTTTCTCCCGCAAAAAAAGCCACATCGGCTTACTGCCCACACAATCCTGCCTATTGTATAATAACCTTTGTCATTTCAGGCAAATGTATACATCTAATTACTTTACATATTTACAAATGTGCGACCTCCAATGATTCACACGGGCAACCGAAACACACAATCCCTTTTCACAGAAGAGCTCAAATATAATGAAAACATCGATAGCTTGACCGTAGTACTTTTGCGGAAACGATTAGCCCTTTATCATGGTCTTAATTCGTATCATTTACATTGCTATATGATATACCTTTAAAATGGATTTGGATAACATGATATAAAAGCAAAGATATAATATAAACATTCATATTCAGATTTGTAATGTTTATCACCGTATTTATAATTCTACAATATAACTGCTTCTTAGAATTAAAGAAGAAGAAAACTGTACGATTTGATGTCATTACAAAGTCTCACATCAATATTCTGATATCCTCAAAAAAAGAATTAATCTGTGTAAAACACGTCGCTTTCATATGATTAACACTATTAATTCAATAACGTCTTCTCTTTAAAAGAGACAGCAATGTTTTATTTAAATAAGAACCAATTTCTCGTCCTCCCTTCTTCCAGAAGGCACAAGAGAACAATACATTTAGCTTTGTTCAAGAAGATTTGTCATTTCCTCTTTATATATGCATCCACAATAACAAGGAAAATGATTATTAAAATGCTCTTATATCTAATTACACGTAAATCTTTAGCAGGTTATGTATTAATAGACATACAGTAGGTACTCAACATCAGTTTTTGATGGCAGCATATATTGTTTCGTTAGATCCCATGATTGCTTTTATGGTGAGAAACAATACTTTTTGACAAAATGACAACAAATTAAAAAGCTTAGAACTACACATTTTTATTTTGCTCATAGGAATTGTGGACAATGTATCGCAAATGTATATTTGTGCATAAATCTGTTACCTATTTGTGTTTGACACTCTAAAACTTGTGGAAGGGTAAAAGGGGATTTACAGACTCGGAAAAAATGGGAGACGTTGATATATTGCTCTATAGGTTCAATGGCCAGCAGATCGACCGTGGTGACCTTCAAATCACGTGACACCTGCAGCCACTCATGTTCAGGATAAGAAGCAGGGTCGATTACAAAGTCATTAATAATAATGCAAATAATTTCGAAACAAATATTCACATGAGACTTAATCCCCTCAACCCTACTCCTTCATTCAATAGCAAGGAAAATATCAAATAGTCTCAACGTCGCCTCTCCATAAAGCTTTATGTACAATTTTACTCGTGAACAAAATAAAGAAGGCACTTGTGAAAACACAATAAGACCATGCATCCATAGTTATGGACAAGCTAAATCGAAAAGGCCGAAGGGTGAAATCTCCTACAGATTACATAACAAATATATACAGTCATGCCAATTATAATAGTTAGGTACACAAGCAAGAACAGATGGAACAGGCTGATGAAATATTACATTTTTAACTTGAATTTCAAGGAGTTGAGTAAAATACGATGTTATACATGATACACAAATCATATTTGTACATTGGGATTAAATGAAGACTTATATCAAAATGTGCAGCCATAAAACAACAAAAATAAAAATACAAATAATGCAGAAAATATAAATAAAAAACAATTGATATAAAACTATACAATTATACGAAGAATTATAAAATTTAGAGTTATCAAATTTCGGTGTCAGCAAATAAATTACATCTTTCAAGGAAAGCCTTCAGTAGTAATGCAAATTGAAATAGCATCGGATTACATAGGATGTCTAATCGATTCATTATCACACGCAAGAAGTTTAATTAGCTTCAATATTAAAGATAACGGATTTTTGTTGTTATTCAGGAGTTCAATCGAGGATAGAGCAGAAAGGAAGAAGAAGAGTAATAACTATAATGTCCAGTTAGTATGTTTCAATCATAATCATACTTGAATATGATAATTGACATTTACAAAGGACATCATTTTGGGGATAAACATTTTCCATCTACATGTAAAGCAATAACAATGAAATATATGGTTACTCCATTTCAGAAGAACAAAGGGGGAAAAGGGAAAATGGTGAACTATACAAACTAAAATATATAAAAAAAAACGCGTAAGGGTTTGAACCTAGTAATGTGGATCGAACTATACAATGTTACCAACAATGGACATGCTCAAATCATAATAATGCTACATAATATAGAATGCATCTTTTGAAAGTTATAGGTTTTGGAATAAAACATTTAGATATGATGGCATCAAACATACAACTGGATAAAGAATTTGACTGACAGAGAGAGAGACTACATTAGGAGAAAAAACTGTGCACAAATTTATCTTGGTTTCGAAACCCGGGATCTCCAGGATATAGGACCAATGCTCTACCACTAAGCCATTGCTCTTCCACGATGGTGTAAACATTATTTGATGTACACGAAATCCAGTTAAAATAAGTAAAAATACATGAGCACAAAAATGTACAACTAAGGGTGCCACCATATCAGATCCTGAATTGGTCATACTATCAAATGTATTATTTGACATAATTATGATGAACATTCTCTTTATGTTTTGGTAATATAAGAGAGCGATTTAGTTATAAGGCAGCCCGTGAAATGCAATTGTAAACTAAGCAGATGGGAATCTGGGATACTCGACTAGCATGATTTCTTCAGCAAGTTCGAAAAATCCGGCCCTGAATATTTCGTCATTCTTAAGTCTTCGAGAGGTGAACTTGTCTTTGGGCAAGTTGGTTGCTGTTGGCCGCGCAGGGGTTTTGTCGAATTTTTCAAGCCAGTCTTCTACCCATAACTTCACGCCTTGTGTTGCTTTGATGCGGCTCTCTTCTACAAGTTTGTACCGTCCAATTTCCTTACAGAGTCTGTTCAGTCTGTCGTGATCAAAACTGTTGAAAATACGTTCTACGACATCGGGGTTGACCTTCGATGTCTCTTTTTTACCTATTAGGAAAAAATAGCAAATTTGCTATATTAAAAAAATCCTTTTCTGGGTGTGTGAAAACAAAGTTTATTCCGTCTAGTATAAGATATGCTAATTATAAATAATAAAATACATTTATAGAGTGTAGAAGCTATCCAACAATTAGCATATGTTCGACTGCTCCACAAGAGCTCCTGATATGCTTAGATTTATAATTATTTGAAAAGATGTGCTTTCAGTTTAGATTTAAAGATATCCACGGATGGTGTTTTCCTGACTTCCAATGGTAAGTTATTAAGGAGTTTTAGGGCTCCACAAGCATATGCTCGACCACCTAGCGTTAATTTCTTTTTGATCCACCCACGTACAAAGTCTACACATGTTTCTAGAAGTGAGACACATCGCTCTTGAGCATGTTCATCAGGTCTGAATGATACATAAAGCTGTGTGTCATCTGCATAGCAGAAGCATGATATCTCGGGAAACTTCATTTGGACATTTAAAATGAGATTAGCAGAGTACAAAGTAAATTATGATGGGACCTTAACAGCTATGGCACAGCGTAAATGCACGGGCTCCTCCATAATAAAGAATTTATCAACTACATAATGCTGCAGAGAAGATTCAAGATACATGATTTAAATTTTTTTTCCTGTACAAATTTTATTTGGTACGGAAAAGTATATGGCAATATCATTTGATTTCCATAATGAGCAATTATGAATTATTAGTGTTCCTTACCGGCCAGAACATCATAAGCAATCTCTGTTTTCTGAATTGCTTTGAGGCCAACAGCTAACTTGAGTCTGTAGTGAAAGGGCTCTGTCCTAAACCGATTCCTCCACATCGTTATCACCTTCAAATTGACGCATGGTTCCGTTGCTCCTCGCCCAATTGATCTGTCGGCTTTGTCGACTTTGAGATGGACAACCAATTTGTCCATTTCCTCCTCATTCAACTGTGATGTGATGTTACAAAGTTCGCTGAGACTTTCTTCATAACCTTGGTAATATAAACATATGTAGCTTTTTTCAAGAAAATGAATTTACAGAACATGATGAAAACTAAAGTAGATGGTGTAATTTCGTCTATTATTGCGGAGTCGTAAATGGCTTTCAAGAAAACTCGTTGACATTATGTTTTTTTACATGCTAAATTAATTAAGATGAAATTGGCAGGGAAATTGGATTGAAGATTTTAAACCAAGCATAAGTTACTTTAAATTTACGTTATTGTTTAATTGGCTAGGGCCAGATAAAAATATGATGGGGAAATGTTTATTTCAAAAACGTGAAGAATCTTTTTTTGTTAATACATGTATCCACATGGAGTTAGTTTGAGATACTGTGGGGCTTAGTTCATTTAAATCGAATTCATTAAGCATTTTTTAGGGGTACTTTGTTCGGATCAATTTTCTTACCAAAGAAGGCTAATCGAGCAGCATCCAGATATCCAAGATTTCCCAGTGCAACACAGAAATCGCGACGCCGATACACGTCATCATCTTTATATTGATTCAATAGATGTAACAAAAGACCTATTGTCCCATTATCTGCTTTCTGAACTACCTCCCGTCTGCTCGTGTCCATACCGAGAAGTGTGGCCAATGGTTCAACATCTTGGTATAATATGTTGTATGCCAAACGAACCATCTCAGTCTGGTATACATGTTGATGAGGCAGCCGGTCGACAATGCATCCTTAAAGAAGAGAAATAAATGTTAGCCCACTATTAGAGGATACGTTTATCAAAATTAGGAAGCCATTAGTCATGTTAGTTAGTAATGGTATGAACTAGAATGCTGTGAAATATGTCGTACTTGTTCGGGAAATAATATTCCTGGTTGCTTTATATTTCACTGCAGTATACAAAATCTCTAATCGAATGTGTTTTTGTTTAGTTATAATATTGCTGTGTTTCGTCATGTGAAGTTTTGGATGTTAAGAACGATTTTCTTTTGGAATTGAAAGGTAGCAATTTTGCTTCCGGTGTCTAGAGCATTTGAATTTATGATTGTGTTGTTGTTAATTATTATTATTATTATTATTGTTATTATTATTATCAATCCTGAACAAGTAAATACTAACCTGGTAAGTCCATTTCATGGAGTGCCTTTTTCAGAGCGTCCCGGGATGTCTTCATTCCATGGTTATCCCTCCAACCTATCAGGTGTTGTAGGAGCGATTTATCCCGTTCGTTTTTTGTATCTATGCCAAGCCTTGAAGTGAGATTTTGCACCTGTTCACTAGGGAAGTTTTCAACCAAGTTCTTCAATTCTCCATCTATCAAGTCGAATACTGCAAAACAATACATGTAAATGGTAACCACAAATAAAAGGAAAACATTTAATATCATATTAAATTGTTTTATTTCTCTATAGGAGGCGAAGTGTTTAAAGCAAGTTTTATAACTACAAATTTAGAAGAAAAAAAAATCAATAAGTAATAAGTAAACTTCTGTGTCATCGTAATAATGTTTTTTTTTTTTCTTTTAAAAGAATATTCCCTGTAGAGAAGGATTGACTGGGTAAGTGATTTTGCCGTCATCCACAAACAAAACACATGAATCTTTGTAATTAGTTACCATCACTGCAATTACTGTCGTTCAGCACTTCTTGGTAAATGGAAACGAGGTCCTGAAGTAGACATTCTTCATTATCACTCAGCTTATTGTCCCTCCAACCTCGCAGCCTCTCCTCAAGAACTTCACTCCCCTCGTCAACCGGGATGCCAAGCTTCTCAAGAAAAGGATGCATTGCCTCTGAGGGGAGATGTTTCACTAAGACTGCCAGGTCGTCATCGAATGCACTACTGCTACCTGTAAATCAACCAAAGTTTTTCAAATTGCATCATCGACTTTGAATTGTTAACGTGCGGGCAGGACATGAATTTTATCAACCGGAAATACTTTACAATATTCATGAATCACGTGGGTTTCTTTAAATTACGCTATTGTTATTAGCACTTCTTTTTTCGTGACAATAATTTTCAGTTTTGTGAAGGACTCTCATATATTTGCTTTGTTGTTATGACAGCGACAGTCAATCTAGTCGGACTATTTGTGTGAGGTTCAAACCAATAAGAATGACGAAGTCAACTTGGTTTTAGCGGATCACAATTTTGGTTTAGCACATGCATATCTGGTATTTTTTATCACGTATTATTGTGACATATTCAAGAAATCATTATTGTAATAAGTATTTGATTTCCTAGAATAACTAACACCTAAAGAAAAAGAACAACAGCAACGGTTGACCAATGTACTTACTGAAAGCATTGGCATCAGGGTGTGGTCCTACTAGTGTAGTTCCCGTTCCTACTCGATAGTACGTCGTCTTGAAAAAATCTGAAACAAAGAAAATAATACCATGGACCGTTTTTTCCAATGTTAAAGACAGTGTACTCGCAAAAATGTACAGGCATTGGTACTAAAAAATTAAGAAAACTGAACTTAACACTCATACAAAATTTCCAACATGACAACAGAAAGCACATAATTAAGGTTTGATGAAATCATAACAATCTATCAAAACCGCTGCTCCGACCTTAGAGATGACGATATCTCTGACGATAGTTGTTAAACTCTTATCCTGCCACCGAGCTTATCCCCATTGTGCCAAGCCACAAATCCCCCATGTGCCAAGTTTATTGTGAGATAATCGGATTAACACGATGGTACTATAACTAGTGGGATTAGTTAAAGCTTATCTGCCATAGTTTACAGGAGGGATTAGACTGCCCTGCAAGATTACTGGACAGGTGGTTATCTCATTAACTCAGCTCTCAGTCAACATAGGAAAAAGAGGATCATGGGGGACCAATGGTCACCGATTAGGCATTGTTTGTTATATAGAGGGCGCAAGTAACTACAAGTAGTGCAGTGGGCCTTTAAGGAGAGAAAAATCAAATACTTTGGTCATGTTAAAAAGCACCAAAGCCTCTTAAAGGATGTATTGGAAGGAAGAGTACAAGTAAGTAGACCTAGAGGGAGACCCAGAACTGGTGAGTGGACTAAAACTGTAAGAGTGCACCAGAATGGCAGACGATAGAGTGAAGTGGAGAGATGTTGCAATCAACCTCCGAACCGGGAGAAGATACTTAGGGTGCTCAATTTTAAGGGCAGAATGAGCGATGTGAAACGCTCATCGTAAACGCTCATCGTAATCGCAGTTCCACGATGTACTGTTTATGCTCACTTCTCTGGCTCCTCCAGGCAATTCTCGCTGGGTGGTCTTACAGCTGGATTCGCAAACCTGCACTGCACATGCTACGTAGACCCACCAGAGGTCAGTGCGTTGACCCCATTTAAACGCGTTTACAAATGATCGCCGATCGTAGACGTACCTTTTTGTGAGTTTACGATCGGCGATCGTGTTCGCCGTTTTTCGGTGATTCTACAAAAGTGAGAAAGGACGCAACCGTGTTTTGAACTGAACGCGTAACAGATGCCTGATTCTGGCCCAAAAAAGTTGAGCATAAACACACCCTTAGATAGATAGACTATCACTAGCACGTGCGAAACACTAGACACGGTACAATGTGCATAAACAATAACTGCTATTACAAATGCTTGCAGACATGCAAGAAGCTGTGAAACGGTAGCTTGCTCGGGTGTACAAAGCCGCTATAATGGTAACAACACATAATATACTGAACATCGCATTCACAAGGGTCCTCGGCGATGACTGCAGCGGCACCAATTGATGGCCAATTTTCTCATTAACATAAAAGAATACATTACCTGTCATGTCATGGCGACCAATTCTGATGATAGCATCATCAAGCCTGCATCTCTTCTCGTAGTTGCAGCATTCCTGTCCAGCAAGCCATGCACTGATCATTTGACAAGTGTCAAATAGATCTTCGTTGTTCTCATCTATTATAGCTTGAATCTCACTCACGTCAGAGATGCCTACGGCTTTAGCAAGCTTCGTACAGTGTCGTCCTGTCAGTTTGTGGACGAACGCTTGTAACTCTAGTTGGGATATAGCCTTCAGGAGATGTTTAGGAACTTTAAAAAAAGGAGAAGAGAAATCGCGTAACTTTATTCAAATTGTTATTACAAAATAATCTTTTAATATTGCACACAGTAAATGAGTATTGCTGTGGCTGCAATAAGCGTACGGAGGCATGTTGTGGATAGGATAACAAATGTATTAAAGAGAGAAATTGAGAAGAGGGATGAGAGTTTCAGAAGAAGACGTCATCCACTCAAACCTGAAGATTCGTCCTTTTACCTCAGTATTACAAAATATCGGACGAATTTATACTCATATCGCGTGTTAAAACGATAAATAGATTTTAGCCCGAGATAATTGATAAATGCAAGCGTAGTTTTAGCATCATTATTGCATGCTCTAAAAAAAGTCTTAACATTCTTTGTTCTCTCAGGTCTCCTCATATATTCAATGTTATGAAAGAAAACTTACACAATCTTTAATTGATCTTTTCCTTTAATCTAGGACCTGAATAATTTCTATATCAGTAAAATATTTAATGATTTTAAAAAACACATTTTTTAACAACTGCAGCTGTTCAATTTTAAGATCCACCATAAGATTAAGCATAACATATGTAATACAGTATACAACAATGGAAGAAATAGGCCATACGGATTTCCCCCAAGTATATCACAAATTTGAAACCTTAATTCACACATCACTTACTCATGAAGAAAGTCCTGCCTAGTAGTTTGCACGTGGCTCTTTCTAGAGCGAGACTCAACAGATGGATGTCAACTTCTTTGTTATTCCCGTCACGCCACCTTATCAATTTTTCCATAGCTTTAGTCGCACTGATTCCTTTCTCTGCTGCAGATTTAGACCAAGTTTTAAATCGGCCTTGATCGATAAGTTCACGAAGAAAGCGACGAAGACCACCTTCCTCACTAATGCTCCGCACAATGTGATCCAGTAGTTCTTCAGAAACCTTTGATGATGTTTGTTGTTTGCGTACTTCAGTGAAATATTTTTTTAAAGGCATAATTATTGATATTTT